TCTAACCATTGAGCCACGGGTCCGCCGTGTTGTCGGTTTTTGATCGGGACTCACTTATATTCCAAAAACACGTTCGAACGCTTATTATTATTATTATGAACTATCCAGAAGTAGAGGTTTTGTGCAGATGATCCACCGAGCAGTTGAATTAGCGCCATTGGAATGTCGCACCCCATTTAAATCAGTTTTGAGACTAAATCGATATTAATTTGAACCATTTTTTAAATACCCATGGCCTTGGTGAAATTCAAACCCACGCCAGCAAAGGGAAGGCCTTAGTACTGCCAACGCTCTAGCCAACTGAGCTATGAGACCCCGTCGGGAGCAGTGAGTTTAATCACACTTGGGTCAATTTACTCGCCCAGCATATTGCAACATATGAAATCCACCAATTCTATTACAGTTAGCTGACTGTCCAAGTAAGATTCTTTAAGCTATCAATCTAGAATCGACCAGATGACTACCAAGAACACTTAATTGGTAGTAAATGGACATGTCTTTCTCATTGATGTACAGACCAGACTTTTTTTCCAACCTGGAAGATGTTTCTAGATGATTTTAAGGTACATTTTCATGGTGTGTAAGTTATGAAGCCGTAATCACAATGGTATAACTGCATAGTAAAAAATTAATTTGTTTTCACCTGCGATGCCTCCGATTTGGGGTGTAGGTGGTTCTTGCCGCCCATCATTTAATGGTTCCGACCTCTCCAGCATTTATATTTTTGAAGGTAACGTTTTAAGAAGAATGCAGCATTTTCATGCGCAAATATTCAAGAAAATAACAGAATACAATAGGCAATTGTTTATCAGCGCATCTCGCAGACGTCTGTATCATGTGGGCACGCAACAGCATTCTCGTAATTGAGTTGAGTTTTGGTTGATTGGTTGGTTTTTTAGAGACGAAATGTGATCGCAACTCCTAGGTTTCTTATAATTATTTCGGAAAATCATTTGCCGTTTGCGTTGTGAGAACCGAAATATTAAACCGATAACAAAATGAACGTCAAACCATCTACCCGGATGCCGTGGGGCACTGAGTAAATCTAAAGAATCGGACTTACTCTGTCTCCCGAGAAACCGACAATTTCAAGGACTGAAAGAACACTGCTTGGAAGGAGAGAAAGGAGCTGCAGAAAAGGAAAAATGAGAAAAGTTGTCACAGAACTAACAGGGTAGAAGATTCCCTAAAATCCAAAACGTTGTCCTACGAAACGAAACAATCGAAGTCAAAATGCGGTTATCGTTCAATTATAAAAAGGAAATTAAAGATTTTATATGTCAGGACAGCAAAAAGTTACCTTGAATCGTGAACCTTTGTAATGAATAGCTATTGTTAACATATTAATCACTACTTTATAAGTATTCAACCATCGTTCCCTGGATTCCCTTATTCAACTTTTATCTTACATTGCAAATTCACCTCTTCATTCTATACTGTATACTCCTACAAACGATATCGGAGTCATGTTCCCGCAAACGTCAACAGTCATTATGTTCTTTACTATCATCATTCTTATCTTCAGTAATTCTGAACATTAGGCTTAGCGGATATCCTATTTGACAGTCTTTCCCTTTACTCCTCCTCCCTCGTTTATTTTTCCTTTTTATCCGAGCTAGCTTTTCATTATTTATTTCCCCAGGCCCTGTGTCCGGCAGTCTGTCATCCGCTTCTATTAATTTAGCCCTATTAACATGCTCCCCCGTGTGTTCGTTAGTTTTTTCCCACCCTGATCCCAACTTCAACGTCATTCTCCAACTGTCAATCTACAACTATTAACGTTAATAATAAATTATGTGCGTTAAATTGACAATTTAGGTCATGTAATAGTAAGTCGAGATAGGTCGGCACGCCCAACCCGTTTTGCATGACTCAGGCCGAACTGAAAATATTCTTTGCCCTGGAGCAAAGCACAGGTCCCCAGGTCAAACAACACGCTTTGAGCAAATCCAAGTTGAAAATACCCTTAATAAGGCATCAGAAACCGCTTGGATGATATTGAAAAGGCCAAGCAGGTAGCTGTTTCAGTAAGTATTCATGGGTAGCGCGAGGTGGCATTTTATGTTTTTTAAGTTCTCGATAACACAAAGACAGCTTAGACATGCGATGCGTGAGTCAAACCCTAAGGAAAAAAATAGATAAATTCTGACTAACAAGTTTCAGAAGGATGAAAATATAGTGGCAATAGAGAAATGTAATTCTAGTTTCTGGAAAGCGGTCTTCGGGTAGATCGTACTTATCTCGGTAATCTCACACGCATAAGATACTGCATCGGTGTCCCTCAGTGTGAAAACTTTCGTTTCCACTTTGCTGAAGGACGCCCGACAATTTAACAAAGCGGAAAAATGTGGGTTAAAATACTTAAGAATTACGATTAAAAAGGGGGATTATTGAACACAATGAGACCAATACATTATTTCCAATTCCATCGTAAATATTTTTCCCCAGCAAAATAAATTATATAATCTGAAATGGAACCGAAAAAGACAAGAAAGACCCGAATGGCCACCTCTGGCTTATTAGCCATCATCAGTCAGTCATATCTAATCTCAGGAGTGGATCATGCGAGATTCGAATCCGCGACCCCTTGGTCATGGAGTGTAACACTACCATTTCAGCATATATTAAAAGTCGCTATGCTACTGCCTGCGTGGACTCTAGATTGAATTTCCAGGCACAACGGAATGAGTATGTTCCGTGCTCAGATCGGTGAGCACCCTACTATCAGGTTATAATCGTTGGTGTCCAGCAGACAACCAGCGAAAACAACCGATGTTGCGTCGATTTCCTTTCCAAACAAACAAGTAAATACCAACATTTTAAAGGTTGTCTGAAAATTATAGTAGACTTAAAGATTGTAGAAAAGGACAACTTTTAGTGCACTCCAGTATCAGTCCGGTGATGAAGGATAATTCAACTTTCTGCTCGGAAAAGTCTGAGTCGGTAAGCTGCGGTCAAGCACTCGTGCCTTGCTAGGTTAGGTGTTTTCTCAATTACCCATATGATGAGAAAAGACCGTGCTGTAAAAGAGATCTTTTTACAGCTGTGAGTATTTTTTGACTGAGAACACAAGTCAATAAGCTATTCCAGATCGAAACCGGCAAGATCACGAGCCCGTGGCGCGGTGCGCTATATCATTGGGTCAATAGTAAACAGGTCGCGGTGACGAGCCTCGGGTGGGGCATCATCTGGAGCTAGGTATGACTGGCTGATGGCTGCTAATGGGTCAGAAACGGCCGTTTCAGGCTTTTTTTGTCTTGTTCGGCAACGTTCAACCGGCGATTCTATAAGACTCCTCCTAGAACTAGACCTTGTGTGCGGCGTGTAATCAGTATTCTAATAATCAAACTTAGGCAGTAAAAGAAAAAGACGGAGGAGATATTTCGGCAAAAGAAGCTTATGTAGGCCCACTCATATACCCTTAGTCCCAGTATTTTGTCCTGCTAAAGCGGAAGTTATAGTTTTTGGGGGTGGGGAAATAGGATAGGCAGAGAAGGAAATTTTTAGAAGTGTAAAGTGAAAAAATGTAGTCGAATTTGCTTCCCGCGGCCGCTGGAAGTTCGGCATGTAACTTGAAGGTGTGCGCGGCGCTTCGCGCCTCGGACTATGCTAATCTAAGTCCAAAACGGTAAAATGAACCTCATGTAAGTTGAAGTAGACGACCTTCTAAGCACCATTTCAATTTTTCGGGAAATTCAAGAAACCTGCAATTTGATAATCGGTTTTTTCCGCAATAATTTAAATGATATACAGATTAGGAAAATCTACAGATATACATCAACAACACTTCTACATATAGTAAATGAAAATGCATTTAGCATTTATTAGAGTATATTCTATTGCGTGTCCTAATTTTGCACCCATAAAACCCTATAACCACCATTTCGTAGGAAAACATGCAGGGAGTAGGGATTTTTGAGTGGGCCTTCATAAGCTACTGTTGCCGAAATTTCCTTAAATTACTCATTTATGCTTTCTCCAAATGTGGTAACTTGCTCTGCTTTCTTCTAATCTCTGCTCCCATACTTCATACAATATATCTAGCCCAAAATTTAATGATACAGAATTACTTATCGTTGAAAGATTTGACCAAGGTATAAAGGTTCACAGTTTTTTAAATAGTCGCACCTCTCACTAATCAAATAAAAAACAAACGCGGTCAGCTTCAAAGCCTGTGTCCGCAAACTAGGAAATTCAGAAGTCGGATTTTACTTTTGAAGCTAGAACATGGAGTTAAATTGGTGTTATATCAACGTCCATACTACAATAGGTCAATCCAATCGACCTAAATATTCACTCTAAAATGACCCGCTGATAAAAAAATACAAAGTTATGGTTTTACGTTCAACTGGTGTGATATGTTTCGATTCGCAAATGTCGAACACCACGCGACGGAAGAAGGCTATTCGGATAAAAAAGACCGGTAACTTAATTACCTTATTTGTTTTCCATGAGCCCATCTAATACTGTAAGGTTATTCAGCTCACCGCAGCCCACCTCGAGTGGTGAAGTTGTCACGTCGGATTTACTAATTTAAAAATCAATAGGGCCTGCTTCGAAAGCAAGCATTGCTTTAAGGTCCAGGTACATAGTTGGTCAAGTATCTACGTCTCTTAGCAAACACCTCTTCTAACGTACGATGGAGGGACTCTTGATTGCGGAATTATGTTACTGACTGCTATACGTTTTATATAATTAAAATGCCTAAATAGATCGTTCACATTGGTAATTTTCAATACAAATTTGTAAAGAAAACACGTAATGTAGTGCGGAATATCAAAGTAGAATGCTTTCCAGATGCAGCTAGACAACTGCAGTCCACGGCATAGTTGAGGTCACAAAAAGCCAGCTTTGTGACATTTGTCGGTAGGAAGTTACCCAACTGATTTTACGCCTGCAAAATCATGACACTGTAAAGGTCAGAAACCCAACTATTTGGTAAGGACATAACTGATGGTATTCCGTTCAAGTTTTTATTATTAATGTCCCAGGCGTAATTCAGACTTTTTAGCGGATGACTTCCTCTACCGTTCTTCCCATACATTCAAACAAAATCGTAAAACTAATTAATTCGGACGGATGAAAGAGAAAATAGTTCCGCTTCTAAAGTTTCCCAAGCGTAGGCAACTCACATTCTAAAAGAAATGAGCACACGAGGGTCCACCCTTAACGTTTTACGGACTTAAATGAACGAAAAAGTCTAATTTGCTCAGCTCGTGTGCTTCTTCTGAACTGCTTCCTGGAACTCGCAGATTCAATTCTATTGAAAAAATTCGAATTTGCTCAGCCCGTGTGCACAGATCACTGTTCAGCTTTGGATGCCCTACTGCAGTCGGCAGTTGAATATATAAAAGGTGCAACGATACGGATGTTGTACCCTGGGGGCATTTTTATCACTCGTCACGTTTTCATGGCGTTGACAGACTAAGTACGCCACGAACTCTACCTTTGCCAGTACATCGAAAATGGCTTCCACTGAATAAAACACTAGAGTGCTGAACAGTCACTTGATTATATTAATGAACATCAAATCTTGGGCGTATATTCTTTTATTCTTCAGCAATAATTATAATCTAGTAATTAAGTCCATGAGGTGTTTTTGGGAAACTTAGAAGCGGATTAGATACCCACAGAATTGATAAATATACAGTGGCAAAAAAGTTGCAACCTATAACTGTCGCATCACACTTTACGTGGCTTACCTTTGTTTTTATCTCTGGTGATGAGTTCGAATGTAAACCAGAAAGCCCAGACGAAAGATATTAATATCCCAGCTTTTGCGTCTGCTTCTCAATTGCTTCCTGGAACTTGCATTTTTGGTGTACCGAAACGTCAATTTTATTGAATCACTCTCTTATAAGGAAAGCCCGCATGCCAATTTTGTCAAACCATCTGAGAAAGTCATTGTTTGAGTAATATTCTCTTACAACTCCTACCGTATATTCGCTGTCGGATATAACCGCAGACTCTTAAGGCTTCCTATCGTCAATGGCCTTTTATTTTCAAATACCTTCGAGTATAACAATGAAAGGTACTTAAGTTAAGACTGCTGTGAATTTCTTACTGTTGATAATAGGTTGGCCGCCGCCTGTTAAGTGGTAAAAGTAAAAGGATGGCATTGTCTGCATTGCTGACTTTGAATGGCATCTCATTTACGCATCTAATGGCAGAAGACTGTGTAGTGGTGGTTGGCAGACCTAGACGGAAAAGCAAAGCAGGCTAAAGGGACCCTACTGGACAAAACCTGAGGAGTGGTCGGCCAAAATCTTCGGAGATACTTTTTTAAAACTCACCAAGTTAAAGGCGCCCACTCCCATGTGCACACCGCAGTCAAAGGCGGCACGGGATGGACTGTTGCCCCAGTCCTTGTTCGTGTGGATTTTCCAGCATGTCCTTTGAGAAGACAAAAACACATATGCTTGTTGTTCATATAGCTTAAATAATTTTAGGGGCATTATTTAACTTGCTCCTAAGCAATGCGTTAAATTTGAGCTGCATGTATTTTAGATTAAATATTCGGGTAACTTGTCTTTCGGTCGAAGCGGATGACAAAAATAAAAAAGTAAAATATCACTGTGTGCCTATAAATCTTTTCTGGGTCAATTTTTGTCATTCAAACAGGTTTTTTCGGCCTAGCTGCATAGGTAATTCATCTAGACAGCTGCACTTACACTAACACGCTTTATTCTAGCTGATTTACTTTTACTGCTTTCACATAGAGAAACCCAGAAATGCAGATACTTTAAATCATCATCGTTATTGTTGTTGTTATTTTGTCGTCAGATAGGTCACAAGCACACCTCGTAGGTAAAGCCCCTATTGTGCTTCGACGCTGTATGGGGTGCCGCCTTCGCCAGTTTTCGACAAAGGACAATCGCACGATGTTCAACGAAAGTACTTCCTGCGGTGAACTTCCAGTAAGTTACGATGTCACAAAGAACAGAGCCTCCGATGCCCAAAAACCGCTGCAAAATTAGGTCTCCGTATTTTAGACGCTAAAACAAGGAGGTATTTTAATATAACAAATCGACGAGGTGTCTGGTTATGGAAACATAAAGTGGCAAATAGTGGATGATTTTGATCTCAACATTTTACTTCCGAATCGAATGCCAGAAGTAAATGTTTACGTTACGGGCAATTAAGTCGTGGCTCTCGTTTGTACTATTATCACTGTCCATATCGTCTCAAGCTAAAATGGATCTCCGAAGATGTCTCCCATCTAATGATTATGACTGCAGACAGATGTCCATCACATAAGTTCCTGTAAATAGTCAATAGTTAGCTGCAAAAAATTAAAAATGATTCATTTAAAACAAACAACCAGTAGACAGTGAAGATTCATTGAAAAACAGCGAAGTTTCGGGTTCAATTTGCATTCAGATAGGACAGAAAATAGCACAACGGAATCGACCAAGTATTTGCATGTTAATGCACCAGACAAGGCGTTTTTAGAAGGTGATATCAATCAAGAAGATAACGAAACCCAGTGGGTTTATTTACGTAAACATTTACTTGGACTGACAAATCATTGTGACAATCATGGGGAAAGGCACATTCCACAAAAATGCTCAGCAAGATATGGATATGAAATTAAAAAACAACATAATATTTTGCATATGAATCTCATAAAGACTTCTGGAGTAGGATCTTGCGTTACTTTACCACGTCTCCTTGCAACAAGGCTAGAAATTAAACCACTCATGTATGTGCAAACCTTTCCACCTGCACCCACGTTTCCGAGGTTCTATATGACCTTTTTGAACTTTGAAACCGAAATTACTCTTCTAAGGATTTTTTCAGGGTATATAAGAAATAGGTGTGCAGCGGGATCCTACGTCTGAGGTGATCGACTAGGTCAGTAATCGGCTTTTTCGTTTCAGTAAGGTTAATTTTGACTGATTAACACGCGCAGTAAAGGATTATTAGACGTCAAGATTTCTTCCGGAGTGAGAGGTCTATGGCGCTGGACTGCAAATTAAAATTGCCAGAAGAGGAGCGATTTGACTGTAAGTTACTAGCTATTTATTTCTTATTGATTCCTCAGGTGCCAACACATGGATTTATGAAACAAATGGCCGCAGTACTCTTTCAAATGTTTCTACAATCAATTATCTTCCTTGATCATCAAATTCTTTTCAGTTCAGGGAAGACTAATTACGTTATACGTACTTTTGAAGGACAATTTGTTGGAAGCAAAGACACGCGCAATCAAGGATTGTTTGATCGTGGTGTGGTGTTTTCGTCAACGTAATACTGTTCCCTTCAAGTCAGAACACGGCAAATTTGTCATGGGCAGATTAATACGCAAGCATATTAACCCAACGACTGCCTGACAGGCATTAGGGATTGGGAAGAAATCCAGTGAAATTACGGTATGCACAACGCTCGTTAATGACAACGACACTATTTTTAATAACGTTGACGGGAGAGGCCCTTTCATTTGGATTACACCAAAATATAATGCTACTATCAATGTTAGCACGTCCTGCTAAATTTTCGATGAAAGTAATGCGTAAACTTGGACTAAATCTGAGAATTACTTTATTCGTAGTTAACGGGCCCCCAGTCCGTAAAAAAGTAAACAATGACTTGCCCAGTTCATATTCAGTGCTGAGGCCAAAGCGAGTCACCACTTGGGTACCGCACAGGCCACCACGTCGTCTTACGCCAACACCGGGGAACCAGACGGCCGAGCAATCATCATTTCCAATCCCACCACGCGTGATGAAAGCTCAACAAGTCAGGGCCCGCATGTCGGTAATCAAGCCATCAACACACAAGAAGGCAATTATCGTTAATTGTCGTTAGTCTTCATAAAAGTGCAGTAATGACTCTGTCCTATAAATACTGTCATTTTCTGTGCATGTGTTACCCGTTTCTGCTACTGCTTTCTGTGTAAACATGGACTAAATCCTTCGAGACAGACCTTTTCTGGTTCAGTCTGAAAAGTGATTTGCATACTTGAACTGAAGTGCATCAGCTTTAGTTAGTGAATATTACGCGGTTGTACCGCATAAGCTGGTGGATTTCAGTTCAAATTGTCATAATAAGTCCGAGCCTAAAATGGTCTTCTCCAAAGACATCAGTCCACAATCGGACATTAAGTTCCTCGGAAAGTAAACAAGACAGGCTAAGACTGGCGCTTGTATACCAGAAAACGCACATGGGAAGGGCTGGAGGACTCACTGATGACCCAATGATGCAGCAGCCACATGGCAGTCAACATTCATCACCACTGCCCTGACTCAAACTGCCTTCGCTTACCACGCCTTGGGTTCTCGCGCGTGACAACCTCACCCGCACGCTCTTGGTCGATCGCTATTTTAGTTAACCATAAGCTCGAAGCCAATCAATGCCCGCGATTTCATTGATTGGCCGCAGACGACAGAGGACACCTTCCGGGGGTCAAGTAATCCCCACAGCGGAAAAGGACTGACACAACTTGCACAAATACTCAGCTGGTGGCTGGTGTTTGGCAAATCCCTGTGTTACCTTGTTTTCCGCAGTAAAAAATTGCTTCTGTCTTCTCTGACTTCTGATTTGAGAAATTCCCTTTTATCAAGACAACAAAATCAACAGCCTCGCCAAAAGCAGTTACGAAAAGCATCATTATACGAGAAGGCGTTTCAGGAAGTCTTAATGGGAAACCTCCAGAATGACTTTGCATGGACCAAGCGAAACGCAAGGAGTCATAGACAGCTCATAAGAATAAATATCATAAAATAAGGTTACTGATCAGATTAAGAAATTGATATGCTTGATATTGAGTAGATATGATGATTGCGAGAAGAAGTGTTGATTAATTATCAATTAATGACTAGACCTGCCAAATGCAAATCACCTGTAGCAGCGGTAACACTCGCGAAGTTTAATTGAGCTTCGAATAAGGGTTGTTAATTTCTCATCCTGGAGAACCATCAGGAATACAAGTTGTAGAAGACTCTCCGCGTAACAGAGTTCAGCATGAGCCTGGTCTGTGAAAGAACAAATAACATTTTGTATGAACAGTAGACGACAGAAAAGAGGAAATGGCAGATATGGCCATGAATTTGTTAACGCTTTGAGTGTGGTATGGATGCTCTCATGAAATATCAAACGATTCTCCAAACTTATTAGACTTCCTAACGGGAAGCTGATAAATTATGAAAATAATTAAAGCCTTAAATAATAGGGATGCTTTTTGAGTTATTTAGTAATTTTAACTTGCACCCATTCCAGAACTTAGTGTGTTTAGGGAAATAACATAAACTGTTGTGATTCGAGGTAAAATGTAATGTCATAGGGAGATTTTAGACTACCAAATACTTGGCGTGTTCGTTTAGCTGTCCGAAAAATGCAGGCAGTCTCTAAACATCAGGGTTATTTATTGAAGAAACCGGGCCGCTCCATATATGCTATCATTTTATTCATAATGTTTAAAAAATGTAAAGGATAAAAACTTTAGCAACGCAAGTAACTACTGAGACAGAGGTATGCTACCTTGGGGGAATCTCAATAGCAGGAGTGCTGTGGTTTGGAGGCGAAAATTATACATTGATAACTTGTAGATTGATCCAGGACTCGAAGAATATTCCAGTTAAAAAAAAACGATAATTTTTCCCAGACAATTGTGTCAGGGTGCTTGAGGCAATTAAAATAGAAAATAAAGAATGCACTTCCAATATTTGGCCGTTTGAAAATCAGCGGATTTTTCATCGCATGATTCATCATCTTCTTAGAAGGCAATAACGACGATAAATTTTGTCGGAATGTACAGATAACTGAAATATTTATTGTTGCTCCTCAGAGCCATTAATGTTAAAAGGATGTTCACAAATATTAAAAAGCCGACGTCATAGAGTATGAAAGGCTCAAAAGATAAGTTGGCCAGCATACATTCCCTTTCGATTAATTCTCGTCAGGCCTTTCCATTTATTTACTTATGTAACTATAAAGTCAGCTGGTGACAGCTATTTTCCCCAGTGACCGCATAATTAAATGCGGGCGACGATTATCTTCCTACATTCCAACCCACCGCAGAATCTTGTATTAGTCATCGTCTTGAGTTAGCTGTTGTCCACACAACTGTCATTTGCCTGACGATGAGCTGGGGAACCAGACTCAAAAACTCACGCTTTAAACATTATGCTTTCCCAAGGGACTTACTTGTTATAACATATATCACTTGGGATGCCGATATTCCAATAATTAGGTTACTAAGTAAAATATGCAGGCTAGTAGAAAAAATCCTGCGATTGTTAGGGTGGGAGGCAAAACAAAGGGCGATCAGTAAACTATTCCGCGTCGGGGAGACTGGTCGCCGGGAAAGGTAATTATCTGCGGGCGGCTGAATTGGCGGCTTTCGGCAATGGTACCTGCGGCGCCTTTTCGAAGTTTTTAGGCGCATAGGACCGGTTTGCGTAAACGGATTGGAGCCGATTCTGCCGTAGCCAACAGAAGCTGTCCATGGAATTTGAATAATCTGAAGGGGCTTTGTAAATCACTTGGAAGGCCTCTCTGACATCTACTCGGACATCCTACAGCATGGTTAGGAAAGGACCAAATAAAGAACAGTAACCGTTCGATTTCTGTGCACATGGTAGACTCAGATAATCACATAGATGCCTGAGAGACCTTCCGAGTAATTTACAAAGCCTGCAATCAGGTTACGCAAATCGGTCCT